TCTTAAAAAAAAAAAAAAAACTTAGAGAATAACCACTCTAAAATTCTACACTAGATATACGAAGAGAATAAGTATTTTATTATAACTTCCAATAATTTAGAAAAAAAGTTAATTATTTTTGAAAATATATCGTAATTAGACATTAATGTTTTTTTTAAAATTAGTTAGTCAAATGAAAGTAACTTACATATCATAATAACTTACAATTACACAGTTTATATGTCACAAATATTTATAAAAAAAAATTCACAATCACGTATCATTTGATCAAATGATTCTTGAAAGTTTTTTACGACTTTGTTAATTTTAAAATTGTATTATTAAGCTATTATAACCCTAAAATATTCCCATAATTTAGACATTTTATGAACATTTGGAAACAAGCCAGGCCGATGACTTTTCAGAGTTTCCAGGCCCAACGTATCCTTACCCCATTCGTGCCATAGGCCCATTCTAAAATCCAACAACTACCTATTTATTCTGTAAACCCTATTCTCGTTTTCCTCTCCACTTTGCAGCTGATTGAGGGAGAAACGAATCTGTACAGCAAAAATGAAGTACAACACACGAGTCTCATCCTCCAGGCGCAAGAACAGGAAGGCACACTTCACGGCACCGTCGAGTGTCCGCCGTGTCTTGATGAGCGCTCCCCTGTCCTCCGACCTCAGGACAAAGTACAATGTTCGTTCTATGCCGGTACGCAAGGATGACGAGGTCCAGGTTGTCAGGGGTACATACAAGGGTCGCGAGGGCAAGGTGGTGCAGGTTTACAGAAAGAAGTGGGTAATCCATATAGAGCGGATCACCCGTGAGAAGGTTAACGGGTCCACAGTCAATGTCGGCATCCATCCATCTAAGGTAGTCATCAGCAAGCTGCGCCTTGATAAGGACCGCAAGTCTCTTCTGGAGCGCAAAGCCAAGGGTCGTGCTGCCGCCGACAAGGATAAGGGCACAAAGTTCACCGCCGAGGACATCATGCAGACCGTAGATTAATTAATTTAATCTTCGACTATATTGGTATTGTCACTCGATTTTACTGTTGGGTTTAATTGGTTCATGTCGATGAGATGAATTGAGTGAACCTATGTTGTTGCTACTTCATTTTTGGTTAGATTTTCGTCCTAGGAGACTTTTGGATATTGATTATGCTTTATTTTTCTCATGGTTTAATGAAATGCTTATAGCTTGGGTTTTTGATTTTACTTGAATCGAATCATTGTTGGCCTTTTGTTGCTATTACTGTTTAATTTTTGCTAGTCCTGCGAATTTATGTTAAAGAGAGGAAGGTGGAACTGCTTTACTGTTTTTGTATTTTTTGGACTCAATTAGATGGTTCTGGAAATTGTGATTTTGAGGCTGCTTGAGCTTTTTTTTGTGTGTTCAAGTAAACGC